TTTTTTCAGATCAGTAATAAAATTACTTCAGAGGATCTGAGTGATAAAAGTCAATTCCCTTTTTCCCATTCGATGCTCCCCAAAGAAACGGTCCAATACCCAGGAATTGTCCAACTGCTCCTTCATTTTGGATGGACCCTGATTGGTCTCTTTGCTTCAGACACAGAGAAGGGAGAGAATTTCATGAGGACTTTTACTCCTATGCTTGTCAGGAATGGAATTTGTGTTGTTATATCACAACAATTCTCAGCGACTGGAAATACAGGAGCCCTCAGCGATGCCATCTTTAAGTGGAAACAAGTCAATGTCTTTGTTCATTTCATAGGATTTGATTCCATTTTTGACAGAATTCTTCCCTTCCATTTAACACTCAAGCATTTGCCAGGACCCATTGAAGGGAAAGTCTGGATCATGACAACGCTTGGAATGTATGTAATGAAAAAGCAGAGGCTTCTCAAGTATGTCCATAGTATTTGGACCTTTTCTCTTCAGTGGAAAAAGAGTTGGAACGATGATGATGCCTATAAAAGATATTTCTTTGTGGAACGTGAATTTCAAGTTGAGTATTTTCACTGTTCTGTTTCAAAACACATATTTTCTATCAAAGGCCGGAGAAGATGCACCCAGAAAGTACCATTGGAGACAAAAGAGGAAAAGAATAGGATGTGGATCCCAAATGAGGGCTATACTTACAGTGTCCTTAAGATTCTGGCCCATGCCTTAAAAGCTGCATCCAAATCCCAGAGGAGAAGGGAGAAGGGAGAAGAGAGGTTGGGGGCTCCAAGGCTGCAACCGTGGAAGGTATGGGGTCCCGTCAAGGATCCATCAAACTAAATTCCTTTTCAGGGTCTTTGGGGCTCTCAGAGCTTGTTTGTTTAAGATCTTAAGCTTCTGTACAACATCTGATACTTATTGGAAGAGCATTGCATCTTCCCTTCTACAACCATTTTCTATATTCAAAAAAAAAATTCCTAGACTCCATCTGATTTTCAGCTCCTGTAAACTGAAATGGCTCTTTTCCTTGTCTTTCCTCAAGGCTAAAAGAGGCTCCTCTGATCTCTTCCTCGCCTTCTTTGTTTTTGCTTAAAGCTGATGAATATATATATATTCATATTTGGCTGAAAAATGCCTGCGTTGGCGTCTTTATAACATTTATCTTCTCAGACTTCAAAGGTATTATTCCAGCACTTTTTTAAACATGCTTGTTCGTTTGCAACTGAATGAGGTTTGATTAAACAGTAGCCTCTTCTCCCACTATTCACAATAATGTTCAGTGCAAATGAGTTTGGTTCAATATTTTTAATTTAATTAATAAAATAAAAATAAACATTGGGGGCTTGTAAGCATTTAGGAGGTATTCATGGGGGAAAAAAGAGAGCAGGATTTTTCAAAATTGGCAGCAAAACAGTATTTCCAGGATTGAAACCTGCTAGAAACAAATCGAGGAAGCGAATTCCATGAAAATAGGATTGGGGTAGAGCTGTATCACGTAAGGGGCAGATTCTGTTACAGATTTGCAGACTTTCAAGCTTTAGAATAGCAGCCGAAGATGGAAAGTGGCTAGTTTACAATCCACCAACATGATTAACTGCCTGGAGAGAAAAATGAAGAATATCAGTGGACCGAAATAAGAAAACCAAGCTAACTACAGAATGGGAAGGAGGAGGAAATATTAGGAAAAAACATCCTGAAAGATTGTGGAATATACACTAAGGAAGAAGGGATTTAGAAACCGTAAGAAAAAGTCCGGGAGTGACCATTGTGAATGACGCAAGGGAGCAAACCAAAATGCAGATTGCCAGGCTGAGCTTTCCTTCTTGATCCATATTTTTTTAGAAAGCAGCTGAGAAACTGTCTTCCTTTTCAATTGGCAAGTCCTCTCTTCCGAAGTCATCCGTTTCTCGCGAGTCTCACGGTCCCATCTCAATCGAGTCCTGCTCGGTCTGTCCTTCCTAAAAGGGTGGGGGCTCCAGCTTCTCCATCAGGGACTTGATTCAGCTTGTTCCATTAATCAGTTTGGTGGTGGCGATGACGTATTCAGTGCCCCCGTCTTCCATGTGAGAGAGGAACAGGAGGGCTGCGATTTTGGCGTAGGTCATGCCTCCCAGAAAGAAGACGAGAGTGACATGGTTTTCTCCATGCTGGTGCTTTTTCTGAAGCCCGGTTGGCAGCTGCTGCCTCTCTTCAAAATGTGGACCAGGAAGTATTTTTAAGATTTCTTCAATGCTTCGTCAACCTGGCCGGACAAGCAACTGTGCCAGACGAACGCTTAGAGGCACATAACCACTGTAGACGTAAGAGATATTATTTGGGTTCTGCTCTTTGATGTTGTCCATACACAGATGCAAAGTTTTCCAGATGGTTGGGTAGTTGTTCCGACTGCCCAGCCAGGGCTTCAAAAGTCCAGCCTTTTCTAGGCTATTCAAGGTCAAGATGTGTTTGTAGCCATAAGTCTGGAGAATTTCTCTCTTGTAATGATCCAGCACCTTCTGCTTTAAGCTGCTGTTGCACACCGACTGCAGGCAAATGAGCCTCAGTATCTTAATCAAAGGATACTTTCGGGCAATGCAATCTTCTATGTAGCTGTTGACCTTATCGGTATCTATCCCAGACATAAATTCTTGCTCCACGGTTAAATTATCGAAGAAGTCTTCAGAGGTGGTGATGTCTTTCATGAGCTCCGCGATGGAGGTATGGTTCCCCAAAGAGCTTCTGGCAGCCTGCATGTGCGGCAACTGTGAGACAAACTGCTTGATCTCCCCCACGGTTTTGGTGTGGTGCCTTTCCTCAAAAGCAGCTGAAATGATTTTGGCTTTCTTGCTCAAGACGCTGCCCACAGCATTGAGGTTCTTGTTGCAGATCTCCGTGTACAGCTTCTCCGCGGAGTTCAGCTGCAGCTTCTTGGCCTCGGTGGGGAGCTCCTTCACAGCCTCCCCCTGCTTCTTGGGTTAAATTTTTCAGGGGGAAGTTTTATGTAGGTGTTCTGAATTCTATATATTTCATCAATTAGGCCCTCATAAGTCAGTTGGGTAGCCAGAGGAGAGACCAAATCCACGTTGTGATCCAGCAGCAGAAGGGTATCGAAGATGGGCAGGATGGTGTTCTGGATCCCCGAAAAGTCCCTTTTCATGCGGACCATCATGTTTGCCACATGCCATGCGCACTCTCCTTTTCCAAAGATGAGTGGGATGGTTCCATAGAGAGCCTGGAGCATCATGAGTCCTTTCACAGCATGGTAGAGGCAGGTCTGGTCATTTTCTAGGTAACACTTCTTAAAGGCGTTTTCTGACTCCATGGACAAGAGGTCGCTGTCAAAGGGAATGAGGAGTCCAGGCTGCATTCCTCTTGGTGAATAAAACAGTGCAACACACCCAGTTCTTTGAGGCGCTGTTTGCACAACAAACTGTGATGCGGAACAAACAAGATGTAGAAATCCCGCTGCGGACAGCGGATTTTGTCTTCACTGAGCACATTGTCTGCAATTATGTTCATGAATTCTAACCTGGGCCTGACAAAGAAAATAATGTTCTTGACATTAGCCGGTGGAAGGTGACCCCCTTTGAGGGTGAACATTTTCTCCACCTCATGTTCCTTCAGAAGAGAATATTGCACAATCAATCCAAAGGGCCCAGTAACATACTCATCCCACATAATGGCCTTGGATCCGGTGCATTTGTCGAGGAAGGCGCGCAGCTCCCTCCGCCTGGCTTCCCGCAGCACCGTCAACGGGACGTGGCCCGAGCTGAGGTGAGCCACCATGGCTGCTGCGCTGCACTCAAAGCTGATGGATATTTTTCTGCAATGTCTTCTCTAAGTGTGTTTTCTACAAGAGGACATGAAATGATTCCACTGGATCATTAATAGCATTATCGCCAAATTAATAATAGGGATATTATCGTATCATTAAAAGATTACTGCTACTTTATTATAATAAGTAACCATTATCTATATAAAACAATGTGAGAAAAATCACAAAGATACAGTCATCTATCGAGTACTAGATGCTAAAAATTAGTTCATTTCCAAATGGATTTTACTTATGCACTTCTCTCTATCACAAAATCATATTTTTATTTTCTGGAAGCTGGAATTTTTTTTAAGGAGATCAAAATAACTTTGTATAAGCATTATTATAATATTTGCATCACAAAAACATGATTTATCTATTTCTTTTATCAATGAAAATACACTTGTTCATAATTTCCAATTTTATCATTAAGATTAAAATTTATTTGAATACAAGTTTTAAGACAGTTGTATCCATTTAATTATCATGCCATCTAGCAATCAATTAACTAGATCCCCATTCATCACATCATGAATCATTTTGTTAATTCTTTGCTGAAAACAAGTTCTACCACCAGCATTCACACAATCCATTAAGGAAGTGGGATATGTAGGAATTAGTTTGGAGGACCAGAGAAAGAGATGCAGGGAAGGATCAGATAAGATGGTGGGGGGGAGGATGAAGCAGCATCTGTGTTACAGGGAGAGAAAGAAATTCAGAGAAGGTCCTCCCAAATGTTTAGACTGTAAAAAGAGATGGTGAAAGATTTGTATTTTCATACTTGCAAGATTCTGTTAATATTGTCTTGCAGTAAAAGAGAATTAGTTCATCTGGTCATTTTCCTGTCTTAGTCTTGCAACTTTCTTCTTAACAAATCCTTGCTTTCTGATAATCACCCTCTTGTTTCCAAAGAGTTTATGAATGCTCTTGATATTTGGGGGTTTTCTTCAATTGATTTATGACCTTTCCTAAAATGTTTCTTGTAATTGACAATTTTTGCCAATTATATCTTCTCACTATACTTTTTGTCAATATACTGTATGATTGAGAATTATTACTGAACCTTTGTTCTTGAGTTTTAAAGATAGTGGCCACATGCCAACTCACAATATTTGCAAGTTAAACAACCATAGAAGAAAGATTCAAATGTAAAAAGAGATAACAAAACAAGATTTCTGCTTTTAAAGTTCCTGGATGTTTCCATTCTAGTTCCATCCATTTCTAAAGAAGAAGGAATTGTTCAATCTTTCCCTGCTGAAAGTGTACTTGGATCAAAATGGAGAGGTAGCAGCAGATCTAAAGATCAACAGTAGGGTAGTTCTCCTCAAGGAGGATCCCATCAACAAGGAATTGGGGAGTTTTGAAAGGCAGCAACTGATAATCAACCAAGATGCTTTGTCACAGCTAAAGTTGCTCAACCAGGTGGGGAAAATAGTGGTGTCTTTTTTTCATTTTCCCAAAGAATTAGGACCCTTTTCAAGTGGGCTAAATCTAGTCAAAATGGGGGATAACCTTCACTGAGAATTGAATGTGTGCAGTAAAACTTTTATAATTTTCTTAGAAAATAGGGAGGCTTCTCTTCTATTGACCAAGGTATCCTTTTGATGTTATAATGCTGAATACTGTTGTAAGCTGATTCAGCTATATCCAAAATGAGATTTGGAATGATTATTATTTAGGACAATAATCATTGCCATTTCATGTCTCTTCTTTATCACCATAAAACCGGTGACAGAGGGCCTCATATACTGAGGATTTTGATATTAATAGCTTCAGGTACACTAATTTCTTGTCTTCAAATATCAAAGTTGAAGGCAATTCTGTTGACCAGAGCCTGAGTTCAACTTTGGTCTCAATCTGATAAAATGGAATCAAGACTGGATGGAAGTCCTCTTGGTCCCAATGGGAAATAAGCTTCATCTTGACCTGTTTGGAGTCAGGAAACTCCCAAAATTGCAGGCCTAGAGTCTGCAATGTTTTTAATCAGCTGAGACCATAGTTATACATGTCTCTCTTTAACCCTACTAGGATAGTAGAATTTAGGAAGGAGGTCCAAGGCATTCAGTTCACACGAAATAATAATGCCTGGTCTGATGTGAGCTTATTTATTCATTGATTGATTCAATTTATTTGCTCTCCCATCTCACACAATAATGGTCTGAAAACTGAAGTACAGAAATATGACTTTGACGCAAAAAAATCCTGATATCAGAAGTAATAAGGGACAATTTCAAGGGAAATATTACTTAGGTTTTGGCATTGGAAGTAATCAGAGATTTCATATTTTTCTATCTGAATCCCAGAGACTACTTTGCTAATGTTCCTATCTACCTCCATGTTACATAGATGGTGAGTGTAACATCTTTCCTTTGTCATTTTTTCTTTCTCTTCTCAGTCTCTGCCTCAGTCCAAATGTGTGGAAAAATGTCAGCCTGGATTTGTGAAGAAGGCTCGAGAAGGAGAGCCATTTTGCTGCTATGACTGCGTTCCTTGTCCAGAGGGGACCATCTCCACTCAGGAAGGTCAGTGGCACCATAGGGAAACCTTCTGAATTCATCCATCAAGTGGATATTTCCTTCCCACCTTTTCTTATCTTTTCAATTTGTGTTGTTGTTAAATATTGAGATAAAAACTGTTATAACACCAACAAAAAAAAGGAATATATTTGTAGTTCTGAAAAGAAAAAAATACTAACATACAGTGCTGGGATTAAAAGCAAGAGAAAGGAGGGGGAGAAGGAGAACTAATAAAAGACCAATCTACAAATAGATACCAATGTTGAATTCATTCTCTCTTTAAAATTGTTGCCAAATTTAGAAAGGATGGAAATATATCGCTTCATCTTCTCATTTTTATTGGGTAAAAAGCCTTGGCAGATAACAAACTCAGTTCCCCTTCTGGAATTCCTTCATTAATTAATCTTCCTTAAGATCTCTTTCTTTTCAAGTTTATATGGTTGTCTATTTCACACATAGGGGCTTTTGGTGGCACACGATTAAATCACAAATTAAAAATTTAAACACTGAGAACTAAAGGCTAAGAAAGCAAGGGAGGAGTACATCAAGATGCTACCTACCATGCAACCAGCACACAGGGCTCTGTTGTCAGGGGATCTCCAGGACTATTGGAAAATATCACATTTTAAGGGATTTGTAGAGACCCTCATAGTCTGGAGATACTCTCAATTTCAGGATAGTTAATGATTTTTTACTAAAAAGGTCTGTACAATCTCCCCTGAAGTAGGCAGTGTTGCAACCCTTCTCAAGAGGAATTCCATGGATCCAACCATGTTAGACAACTTTTATCCTGTGTCCAAACTTTTTAGAGCAGTTTATTGAGATCATGGTTGTTGGGTCAATCATCATTAACGGAGTTTAAACATTCTTGGGTTAAACACATGTCCATCATCTCACAAAAGATAAAATAATAATAATATAATAAATCAATAAAAACAAAGAACTCATGATAAGATCAGTGAGAGATAAGAATCTGGTGGATTAGCTCAGAGAAGGCAGTTTGTGGCACCAGATATTTCTTCTTACAATTTTATTTTGTTGTTCTTGTTTTTTTTTTTTTAATAGTTGTACTGTATATATTGGGGAATTTTTTGCTGGAATGAATGTATATACAGTACAATTTAATGAGGCTTTCCTGTCTCTCAGTATCAAATCTCATCTAAAGGTTTTCTCGAAATTTCAAAGATTATGAAAGAAATGTTACTTTGTTTTCTCAGATACTGAAAAATGCACCAAATGTGTAGATGAACAATATCCAACTAAGAACAGAGTCCGGTGTATCCCAAAAAGAATAACCTTCCTATCTTATGAAGAACATCTGGGCATAATCCTTGTGTTCTTTGCTCTACTCTTGTTCCTAACCACAAGCCTTGTTTTAATCATATTCCTTAAATATTTAGAAACTCCCATTGTCAAAGCCAACAACCGAGACCTCTCCTTCATCCTCCTGATCTCCCTCCTGCTCTGTTTTTTGTCCTCCTTTCTCTTCATCGGCCAGCCAAGGAAAGCCACCTGTCTTCTCCAACAAACGGTGTTCAGCATCGTCTTCTCAGTAGCTGTGTCTTCTGTGTTGTCCAAAACAGTCACGGTGGTGCTGGCCTTCTTGGCCTCAAAACCAGGAAACAGGGTGAGAAGATGGTTGGGGAAGAGCTTGACCAACTCCATCATCCTGTCTTGTTCTAGTGTTCAAATTTTCATCTGTGTCATATGGCTGATAGTTTCTCCCCCATTCCCTGATTCCGACATGCACTCCCAGCCTGGAGAAATCATCCTTCAATGCAATGAAGGTTCTGTTACCATGTTTTATGTTGTCCTCGGCTACATGGGTTTCCTAGCTGCTGTTTGCTTCACGATGGCTTTCGTGGCCAGGAACCTGCCTGGGGCCTTCAATGAAGCCAAGCTAATCACCTTCAGCATGCTGGTCTTCTGCAGCGTCTGGGTCTCTTTTCTGCCCACCTACCTGAGCACCAAGGGGAAGTACATGGTGGCTGTGCAGGTCTTCTCCATCTTGGCCTCCAGTGCTGGACTGCTGGGATGCATCTTCTTCCCCAAGTGCTACATTATTATCATGAGACCAGATCTAAACATTAAGGAACATCTAATGATAAAAGTAGGGAAGTAATAATGAAATTGTTTCTTAGACTTGTGACAATTAATTATTGATTGCAATTTGTTGTTGATTTATATGTTTCATTTGCCTCTGTTTGACACAGAACATAGAACAATAGAGTTGGAAAGAACCTTAGAGGTCTTCTAGTCCAGCCCCCTGCTTGAGCAGGAGACCCTATACTATTTGAGACAAATGATTGTCTAGTAACTTTTTTAGAGCCTCTAGTGCTGGAGCACCCACAACTTCTGGAGGCAAGCTATTCCATTGGTTTTGTGAGATCCTCCATCATTGGATTGACACCTCACAAGTGTCCCGCCATCAAAGAATTGGGATTTGGAGCAGGGCAGTTGGGTAATAAACCTATATGCTTCTATGGTAGGAATTTGGG